GACACAGTCAACAAGACAAAACACAGTCCACAGAATGGGAAAAGATATTCACCAAACCCACATCTGACAGACGGCTGATTTCCAAAATATGCAATGAAATTAAGAAACTAGTCACCAAAACACCAAATAATCCAATTAAAAAGTGGATTACAGAACTTAATTGAGAATTCTAAGTAGAGGAATCTAAAATGGCTGAAAGACACTTAAGAAAGTGTTCAACATCCATAGCCATCAGGGAAATGCAAATCAAAACAACTCTGAGATGCCATCTTGCTCCTGTCAGAATGGTTAAAATAAAAAACCCCAAGGACAGTTTATGCTGGAGAGGATGTGGAGAAAAGGGAACAAACACTCTTCCACTGCTGGTGGGAGTGCCAGCTCGTACACCCACTTTGGAAATCAGCATGGAGATTCCTCAGGAAAATGGGAATCAGTCTACCACAAGATCCAGCTCCACTCTTAGGCATATACCCAAAAGATGCCCATTCATACAATAAGGACATCTGTTCAACTATGTTCATAGCAGCTTTATTCGTAATAGCCAGAACCTCGAAGTAACCTAGATGCCCCTAAATTGAAGAATGGATAAAGAAGATGTGGTACATTTAAACAATAGAGTACTACTCAGCAGAAAAGAAATAATGGAATCTTGAAATACGCAGGCAAATGGGTGGAACTAGAAAAAAGCATCTTGAGTTAGGTAACCCAGTCTCAAAAAGACAAACATGAGCCTTCATCCAGTAGCTGATGGAAGCAGAAGCAGACACCCACAACTAAACACTGAGCTGAACTCCTGGAATCCAGTTGCAGAGAGGAAGGAATGATGAGCAAAGGGATCAAGATCAGACTGGAAAACCTACAGAAACAGCTGACCTGAACAAGGGGGAGCTCATGAACCCCAAACTGATAGCTAGGAAACTAGCATAGGACTGATCCAGACACCCTGAACAGGTGTGTCAGTTAGGCCTGAACAATCTATGGGGCATCTGGTAGTGGATCAGTATTAATCCCTAGTATATGAATGGACTTCGTGAGCCCACTCTACACAGAGTGATAGTCTCTCAGCCTAGGCACATGGGGTAGGGCCTAGGCCCTGCTCCAGATGATATGACAGACTTTAAAGATTCCCCATGGAAGGCCTCACCCTTCCTGGGGATGGGATAGGGAGCTGGTGGGGGTCAGGGGAGGAGGGGATGGAAAGGGAACATGATTGACATGTAAAACAAGCTTGTTTCTAATTTAAATGTCTAATATAAGAAAAATAGTCATAATAGTAAAAAACAATTTTAGTAAGAGCCAGAGGATCACAGAGTTTGCTTTGAAATTGTGTCTCCTGGGAATGTCAGAAGCCACTTGAAACATAGCCTCATGAGTTTTTGGGATTATTGGAATGTTGCCAGCAGGCTTAGCTTGGGTTCCAATTTAGAACGTAATTTACATATTAATTAATATGAGTATGAGACTTCTTACTCTATCTGGTCTTACAGAATGAGTTCGAGACCCCCATCCCCAAATAAAGTAAAAGTATCTGGGGGTGTATCCCGCTTACAGAGCGTTTGCCTAAAGATCTGGGGGTGTATCCTGTTTACAAAGTGTTTGCCTAAAGATCTGGGGTGTATCCCGTTTACAGAGCATTTGCCTAAAGATCTGGGAGTGTATCCCGCTTACAGAGCATTTGTCTTGTTTTTGTAAGGCCCTGGACTAAATTCCTAGTACTGAAGGGGGAAAGTGGCTCCTATATGCAAGCTATTTACTTGGATCCACGTGAGCTAATTTTGAGGAATTTGTTCTGTCTTTTTTCTCTGTCCCATTGCAATAAATTATCCAGTTAATAATAGTAATTCAGTCCTATAGCAATTGAGACAGAATGCAGAAAGGCCTTGGTAATTTTTTTAAGCATAATACTTTGGAAAGATGAGGGACTTTGGTAGTCAAACCCAACATTACATCCCAACTCCAAAGGCCACTAGCGCTGATCTAGTTCCCCTCAGGAGCCTTTGTTTCTGCCATCTGATCACAACATCTTTTTAATAGAGTTATGATGAACATTAAATACATGAATAAATGATTTCTTAAGACTTCTTGGCACATAGGCATTACTCTTGCATAGTGAAACATGGAAGAAAAACACATAAAAATGTTAAATAACTCATAGATTATAATTTTAGGGAAAAGTTAATTCCATTATAGTGCATATGTAATTATATAACTACAAAGAAGAGATTTAGTTTTCAAGTTGTATAGAAATTTCATTAAAACAAACAATAGATGTTAACCATTTGACTTAGGAGAGGGGTGTAATGACTCTACTACGACAGATTATCCATTACCACGGGATCTGAAATGTATAGGATTCTGGTAACATAAATGTCAGCAGAAATATCTCTAAGCTAAAAATAGAGAAAGAAGGTCCAGATTTATCACCATTTGTCTCACAGCCAATATGAGACTTTTTGTAGGTTCTTCGGTTACTTCATATGGAAATCTTAAAATTCCCTAGTCCTCACTATAGCCATTTCCTATCCCATGAAACCATCACGAATATATTATTGGTTAATACTAAACAGTTGGGGCCTATTTTAGTGAGCTGCATGTATTTTTAAAAATAGAATGGTAAAGACTAGCCTACAGGCAAATCCTGTGAGATGTTCGACATACACGCCTACCTTCCTGTTGGCACAACCTCTCACTGGCAGGTGTAGTCCATTCCCTACAGGAAGAAATAGGTGCTTCATTGTGTTTCAGAAGTCAGTGCATTCTTACAAAATGGAATAATTGACATTTTTCTCATTTCTGATCTCAAATTTTCATAAGCCATTCAACCTGGATAAGCTGAAAATGTGGTTGATGTACTAATTGTTGAAATATGGTAGAGACATGGCAAGACATGATATTTTATCATTTCCTCCCAACCTTAGTATCTGAATGTATAAAGAGGAAAGACGAGTAAAACAGGTTATATATAAAGAAAATACCAAAAAGAAGTACAGCATAAATCTGTGTGAGCAATTTGCTATCCTGCTGAGTCTGGATTTATAATGACAGCAATACATGGTAGAACTTACTTTCATTTTTATAAGGAACATTTCTTACTACTTAGTATTATGAATGATATGGGTTAGGGTTGTATTTTGTTAACTGAAAAACAGTATTTTATGTTACTAATGTCTTAAAATATTATTAATAGTTCACTAAAATTTCTCCTGGGAATAATCAGTTATGAGTTGGTTCAAGGTCTTGGTTTTTAATTCAGTGATCCTTGCCTAGCATGTTCAAGAACCTGGATTTGATCCTAATATGGCCACAAAAGAAGTTAATTTAAGTTATAACTGAACTTCGACAATAAACGTGCAGTGGTATATCCCCTTCCACAATTCAAGTTCATAAAACTTTATCTTAAAAGATTTATGTACTCCCATCAATCATAATCATCAGAGTTTATCAGGTAGGTTCACTTCATCATTCAGCAATGTCCACCTCAAGCAGGCTAATCTGTGAATGCAATGGATTTTTCCATGAATTTTCTAGTTCAGGTATTTGTACCCCTAGACTGTTGTTGGTGACTCTACATTATCCACATTTAATTATACAGCTAAAATATATACTAATAAACTTTTGTAAAATTTACATTTCTCTCTGAGACTATTGCTCCATTTCTAAAAGCAAAACTTCCAAGGTTCTGGGTGTTTGTTTCGTGGCCTTCATCACTGTTAGCAGGATTCTTGCTGTGTGCCGTTATCCAATAAATGTGCTCTGGTGTCCACTGCTGTATGCAGCTTGATTTGTCCATCCCCTGCTGCACTCTCAAATAGGCATTAGTGTCTGGTTCTGTGCTTTGTTTATGTGTGAAGGGCCATATAAATGAGGCACTCTGGAGCAGATGAGACCATTGCTTGCTGGTCTTTGTGGGAGGAACATAAGACCATCAGTTCTCATTTATAAAGAAGGTTTTTCCTATATATGACATCAAGAGAGAGGTTTAGTTGAGTGCTTCTAGTAAAGAAAATAAAAGAAAAACTAAACTACTGTTCTGACTGCATCACCTTGTATTAAGCAAAGCTAGCTGGTCTACGTGAATATTTTTTTTCTCCATACAGTAGCCAAAGAGCACTGCAGAATGGATGCCTGAACTTTAGGTGGTTGTCAGTTAATTAGCAGGTTTTTAGTCAACTAAAAAGATCACTTTTACCCGACCAAAAAGCATGTATTTAAGTTACTCCTATGCTGTACTACTCAGAGTAGAAACTTTAAAATATATATATATATGCACTGGTTGTATCAGTATCAAATCACATGTGTATTTTAGTCACATCCTACTAGAACACTAAAGCTTTCATGTGACAGACTTTGATGATCCCCCATGGAAGGCCTCACCCTCCCTGAGGAGGGGATGGGGGGTGGGATGGGGAGTTGTGAGGGGAATGGGAGGATGGGAGGGAGAGGGAACTGGGATTGGTATATAAAATATGATCGTTTTTGATTTAAATAAATTTTAAATATTTTTCATGTCTTTATTTTAATCATCTGACTGTGAAAAAGAAAGGAATTTGGTGAGCAAGTGTTGTGCTGTATACCATCTAATGCACCATTTATTTAGCTAGTGAACACATCTCAGTCTGCCTATGTCTGTATGGAAAGATGTGTTTCTCTTACAGATATCTGCTTGAAGCTGCTCTTTGCCTGATAGCCCATCTTGTCTTTACATAGTAGATCAATCATTCACAACTTTTATGCAAGTATATGAATGTATTCAGATGAGTGGTCTGTATATCCTGTGCAACATCTAACTAACATAATCACGGATCTGAGTTAAAATTCATGGTGTGCTGTTTTTAACCTCAAATTCTTAGCACTCTGTGTGTCTCTCACCTACAGCAGTGCTTGTTTCTTAATGTGACTACCAGGATGACTTGGTCACAAGCACATACTATTGTTTGTAGCCAGAATATTCGTGATAATAACTGCACTTTTCTTGTTCTCTTTCCCCTGCCCCACCTTAGGTTAGAAAGGCTGGTGGATGTCCTGAGGAAGAAGGTTGGAACAGGGGCTGTGAGGACAGTGATCTGACTGAAAAACACCCAGTCTGGGGCAAGCAATCACATCTGGTGGCCAGGCTGCTTCATTCAACACTGTGTAAACACTAAAAGCCTTAACTTAGCAAACAGTTGTTAGAAGTGGGACACTCCAACCACATTCCAAGCCGAGATAAAATCAAATCACAAATGTTTAACCACTTTGCTGCTAACTTCAGTTATTTATCCAAATATATTAACTGCAGGCTTTTACCAATTATATGATGTTGCAGCTTATTTTGTAGCTATTTTGTAATTTGTGCCTTTAAAGTAATTCTTTTTGCCGGTGTACTATAAAAATGTGTGAAGTCGGTCAGAATCGTACCCTTGCATATGGCCCTTTCTGAATCAAAGTGCAGCAAAGCAAATATTGTCTAAGCCTTAATCCACTGTGTTAGGTCAAAACTTCAAATAAATGCATTTTCAGTATAGAGTATATTTCTTAACTGATGGAAGAAGCTCAGACATGAGAGAATGTAGCCCACCTTCAATGTATGTACACAGCTTTTGTTCTTAATATTGAAGAATATTAAGTATAGGTGCCATGAACTGAATGTATAATTTGCTTTACTTGTACATTAAGATGGCAGTCACCAAGGCATGATTTTTGTTTCACTACAGAGAATCTATACTGTTTTCAATAAAAAGGTTATTAATGTGCACTTGTTTCACTATAGATAATATACATTGTTTGCAATAAAAGGTCATTAATGTGCACTTATGCATATATATTTTGGTATTTTTTAATGTTCAGCCTAATTAATTACCTAAGCATCACTTAAGCTGTAGAAATAGCCAAGTTTCTTTCTGCTCACAGTCTGGGAAGCATGTGCCAGTCAGCATGTCTGTCCTAAAAGGCAAGATGACATCAATCCTGTTACCATTCTTACTATTTTTAAATAATGCTTTGGTATGGTGGAAGGGACCCTATTGTGTAATATACAAAAAAATATGTGGTCAAAATATGAGGACTTAGAAAAAACATCCTTGCAATTTGGTTCAAGTTATCCACTTTTGAATTTATTTAAGACATAACTTAATATAATGAAAGCAAAGCGCAGGCCCTTCTCATCAGAGATGCTATGAATATTTATGGAGAATATTGTCAGTTTTACAGATTAGGTAGCTAAAAGGCCATACCTGGAATAGGATGAAATGAACAAAAAATTTTATGGTCAGAAACTTATGTTCCTAATTCATCTATAAATAAGGATGAACTAAATTATTTATCATTTCCTGTTTTCAGGATAAATATATTCAGAATGATATACTAAACCATTCTTTCATATGCCGTTGGAAGATATCCACTTTATGCATCTTTTGACTCTGTAGTATATTTTGAGGCCCTTTGTCATAGATGAAATATGAATCAGAATACTGACACCCCATTTCCTCCTTACTACATCTGTAAAATGAAGCTACAGATAATTAGAATCATCTCACTGCATTCAAATTTGAAATTCACTCATTTACATGTTCTTAGTGATTTTTAAACTATGAGAATTTGAAGATAAATGATAGCAGGTATTAAAAATAAGCTAACTGTCTGTTGCATGGTCACAGAGAGCATCACAGTCTCTGATACACCAGTGACTATTTCCACATGGAAGATAGTGCTTCAGTCGCTGGCTTGGGCTCTATAACAGCACCCTGTGTGAAGACACAGCATCTCATAAGTTACTCGGGGTGCTTAGGTAAGTAAAGAGAGCATCCATTCCTGACTGCTCTGAACGCAGTCACAGGTAAAGCTGAATTTTCAGTATGGTCTTGAGAAACAGACACTTTCCTTAAGTTATTTACTCTGCAGTCTTAGAACACACATGGGGAAATAGAAACATTTTACAACGTCCAGACATCACTTAGAGCAACTGGTTCCTGAACAGTTGCACAGAGCCAGGTATTACAAAAGGAAACTCATAGAACAGTTCTGATACCCTCTGTTGTTGCGTACAGGTGTCCCAAAGCATTCAGAAGCAGCCCAGGCTGCTTCTGTCTTTATCTCTCACTCTTCATCTTTGGCTTTGTATGGAGGAGGAACCACTGACGACCAAGTTGCCTGCCACTTACTAAGAAGCAGCACAACTATTGAGAACTCCAGTCTGCAGTGTTCCCCCGGAGTCTGACATTAAGCATCACCAAGTCTGTTCCTATAGCCTGGCAGCTCCCTTCTTAAAAACTCAGCAAGTCTTTAAAGAAAAGACTACTATTGGTCATAGCACTTGATCTGCAAAATCATTATTTCACTTTTTTTTTACTCTAGCAACAGCCACATGACAACTATTATACAGATTTTAGTGTTGGGCCTATTGTTTTATGGTGATATTACATTGATTGTGATGAGGAAACAAATGAAGGTCCTCTTGGAACTTCCAGAGGACTGAGGCCTTAGAACTAACCAACCTCCATCAAATTATAGATCTCTCAGCCTATCTGTAAGAAAAAGTAAATACTTTTATTTTTTCAATTATTTATTAATACTTTGATCATTTCCTATAATATATTTTAATCATATTTACCCCTAACTCCTCCCAGATATTCTTCCCTACATCACTACCTACACCAAGTTTGGATCCTTTTTTCTTTTTAATTTAATAACCCAGCAACCTCAATTTGTGCTGTCCATGTAACTATTCACATAGGACTATCCACTGGAGCATAGCAAAGATTTCAATGTCTGCCACTAGAAAGATATTTTAGTGGTCAAGTCACTTACTGCTCTTGTACAAAACCCAAGGTTGATCCCCAGAACCCGGGTCAGGTGCCTTATAAATTCTTATAACTCCAGTCTGAGGGATCCAATACCCTCCGATCTTCATAAGCGCCTGTATGCACACAAGACATGTACAATTCAAGTATGTGCACACACAGCCACAAATAAAAAATAAATTAACAGGGCAGCAATTAGAAATGATGTCTTGAAACATACATTTTTAACTTCTGTAATCTCTGCCGCTATTGTTCCATTTTCTCTTTACACATATACAGGAATTCTCTAGTAGTATAAGGATAAATAGATCCATAGGTACATAGATAGATGATAGATATCTTCCTGTGTAGTTCAACATGATTACACACATAAATCCCTTTACATTATTGTCATCTCTGCATGTACTTTGTAGGCAGGAGTTATTCTGAACTGTTTTTAATTTTATCTGTTGCCAGACACCAAACACTGCAGCATTATAAAATGGTAGAATATGTTTCCATGCACACTCTGCTTCCCATGCACATATTTGATAAACCAGTCATAGGCAAAGTAATGGGTTACAAGCAACTCATGAGCATTACAACAGACTCAATGATTAATATATAATAACTTCAATTTTACTAAGTAAGCTATTATGTTTAAGGTAATTAAAATATTAAAAAGTACTTTATGAAATGAGTATTTTAAGCTTCTATTTTGTGTATTTCATTATCCAAATAAATGAAGAAACTTCTTATTGGGTCACTTACTAATGGAGTGTGTTTATTTCACACAAACACATAAAAAACAGATTTTAAAAATGATTTGTAACTTTAATATGAAAAGTGTTACATAGGAATCCACTTGTATACTGTTTTTAGAGATTATGATAACTTCTGGAAGTTTCCACCTTAAAATGGTGATCACACACAAGGCATTATGTGATGAAATAACTGTGACAGGTGCTCAGTCATCTTACATGTGGTTTGAACGGTGCACTGACTTTTCACATAAAATAATGTGTTCTTGGTAGCTCCTTCACAGCTAGCCTCCGTATTTGCATATTGCACAGATAACCACAGATACACACAAAAGCACATTTGCCTCTTTAAAATTGGTTTGTTAAGTCAGTTGTTAGGCTCCAGTGAGTTCAGCATTTTGTGCATGTTTTATTGGAAGTACATGTGGTTTCTGGGGTTTTTAAACAAATACCTGAAATGGTTGAAAGATTTATATTGCCCATGCTTAGCTAAATATGTCATCTCTAGAAAAGATGTGATTTATTTTGGCACTGTTATGAAACTCAAATATTTTAAACATTTGTTGAGTTGGAGCTTGCACATTTGAACTAGTAGCATACGTTCCAAACTAGCATCTCAAGTTACCAAACGTTTTGTAATCCTTTTACTGAAATAGCCCTTACTGAAAATATTTTCTCTTTACTGTATTCTTTAGTGTGAGTTTAAATTTATAAAGTTTGAAGTTGTCTTTAATGTAGGGCTTCATAAATAGAGTTTGACAATGATAAATATGTGTCTTTAGGAATCATTAAAATGATTTTTACTAATGAGAAACCTTTGCAGAAAGAAGCCTCAATACACTTGCTCTTGGGTCTGTTGTTTTCTAATGTGTTTTCAGAAGATGCTGGTACTTTGCAAGCCACCAGTTTAATTATCCAGTTATTAATAAGGATATATTTTGATGCACCAACCAGAGTATGTAAAATTTGTATTTACTTTTTAGTCACATAAAATCTCCTATCTCAAGTCCTACATGTTTCAATACAGTTCCTACATGTTGACCTTAATCAAATTTATAGGTGTACCATCCCAAAGACATTGTACTAGATGTACATTATGAAATATATCTCAGTGAAGATCAAGTTGCCACCAAACTATTTATTATTTCCTTAATAAAGATTAAAGTTGATATGAGCTAACATAGTAGGAACCCTATGAGCCTCTCAAAACTACTTGAGTCTGAGCTGAAGTCCTTCCCCACTCAGAGAGTCTCTCTGCAGCTGCTGCATGAGCAGGACTACTGTGGTGCCTGAGACCCCACAGCAGGCCTCTTCCACCAGGCTGGTAACTCCCAGCTACTCTTCTGTGGGCCAAAAGTTTTGCTCTTGAGTTGTCTTTGTTAAGTGTCTTGTTTGGTTCTTTGTGTGACATTTTGTACCTTTCCTTTGGCAAAATCTGTGGTCAGTGTATATGCATTTTTTCTTAAAAACATGCTTTCTTGTAGATGACCCCACCCAAGACTCCTAGCAGTAGTGGATATGTAGCCTGAACTGGCCATCTCAGACTGGGGACTACCCCATTCGTCATCAGAGAACCTTCAGCAGGTAACTGGTGGAAACAAATGTAGAGACACACAGCTTAGCACTGGACCAAGCTTAGGGAATCCTGTAGAAGAGAAGGAAGAAGCCAGGGGTATCAAAGTCATCACAAGGGAACCCACAGAAACAATTAGCCTGGGCTCATAGGAGCTCACAGAGTCTGAACAGCTAGGGAGCCTGCATGGAACCAACCTAGGCCCTTTACATAGAGGTAAAGTTGGTAGTTTGGTCTACTTGTGAGACTCCTAACAGTAGGAGCCCGAGCTGTCCCAAATGCTTTGGCTGGCTCTTGGGAAGCTATTCCTCATACTGGGTTGCCTCTCCCAGCCTTAATGCAAGGGGTGGAGCTTAGTCCTACCTCAACTTGATATGTGATGCTTTGTTCACATCTGCAGGAGGCCTGCCCCTTTCTGAACAGAAACAGAGGAGGAGTAGATGGGGAGTGGGGAAAGGAATGGGAGGAGAGGAGGGAGGGGAAACTGGGGTTAGGATATAAAATAAATGAATAAATATAATCAATCCAAAAAAACTTGCTTTCACTGTTTCTGCTACAAAATATGGCAATGGAAATGGAGAGTAAATTTCCAAGCATGCCTATTAAGTCATTAGAGCTCTCAGGAAGAAAAACATCTATTCAAATGTAAAATAAGTTATGATAATAAAATATTAAAGAGAAATATTTTCATAAGATGG